CCATGGGTCGGAAACGTACAGTAGGGACGGATCAGGGCGCAGACATATTGGGCCACCTGGCCCCGGCCAATCCTGCGTCTGAAAGGGTTGCAATGGCATGCGAGGAAGTTAGATAACGAATGAGGAGCAGTATATATTGGGCGGCGCGGCCAGCGTGGTGGTCACAAGTAGAATGCGCCTGACGTGTGGATCTGGCTTGTGATTGGTCAAAAAAGCCTTTCCTGTTGTACCGGTCTTCTTCCAATTAGGGCTCGGGTATTTTACAATCTAAGTCATTCATAATGCAATCGAAGCCATCAGAATGTCACTCGAGTGAATCTTCGGCACCGGCCCCTGCTTGTGATGAAATGTTTGCGTTACGTCGCAATCACTAGCCACTCTCTTAATTGAATGCAACGTTGACAATCTTTGCGCATTGTCTGGATCTGTTTGCATGATTTGTGTGTGGATTTAAGCACTCATTTCAAACTTGTGCAATTTGCAGATTCTCCTTTTTGCGCTTTATTCTAAACAGTCGTAGTTGGTGACAACGAAATGCTCGTCTACTTCTAGGAACGTTTGCTTAACTCAGTTCAACCTAACAATAACTCTATCTGTCGCAGTATGGAAGTGTTTGTTTTTTATCTGAAAGAAATGTTTAAATTTCAACATTCGATTGACCAATTTTAGTATAAAACCTTTTTTTTAAGTTTAACATTTGAATCAAAAGAACGATTTTGTGATCGAATTTGATTACTAATTTAACTTATGCTGAATGTTTAATGAATGCAAATTAATAATAATTAATATTCTCAAATTGCAACGTTGCCAACTCATTCTGCATCGGTTTTTTAAGCTTCTCTTCATTTTTAATTAAAATGCAGCATGTTAGAAATCTCATTTGTTTTTGAAGGAAGCAGCAGTGGAGGCTGAAGCGATTTACAACACAAAAAATCTTACTAGAAACATCCTTACAAGTGACCAGTGACATGAACCTAAATGGTATGTTTTCAAACAGATTGTACTAGGTCATTCCAAAGAACCATTATAAATCATTGATAATATAGAAGGAGAAGTCGTAGAAGTAGTTAAAAGCATCTGTTAGTGTAATTAATTGTTATGCCACAAATCTGACAGCCTCGTCATTTATTGACAGTTCAAAAGTCACGCACTCTGGTAACCGGTGCCTTATATCCTAAGTCCGAAATTATGTCATGACAGAGAGAGATTTATAGTTTTATCCAACATTTACTGGATCTGTCAAAATCTGCACACTTATGTAATTCTACGATGAACACGACCTAAAATGTAATAGGTGGATTACCACAGACATAGCTGTTAATAGGATTCTCTGTGCGCCTCGCATACTATTTGGGATCGTTCAGAGGCATTGTGTTACCAATCACGAAACCCAAAGTATCGATAAGCCGTCTTGAAGAAAGCAAGATCACCAGCAGAACTTTCCTTTATTCAATTGTTTCTATCTGATAGCATTGACGACTTTAACTTAGCGGGACATCGGAGAATTGACGTCATTGATGACAAATTATTCTAGTCAAACAGCGTGTGCACTAGTATTACAGTCAGTCAGTTTCAATATCTTTAACTACAAATTATTTGCACGGCAAACCTGACAGCCGCAAAACTTTCACACATTTCTCCACTCACACACTTACATAACCACTACTACAAATTCGATGTCCTACGCTAGTCCTTACTTTCTAACGCTGATGTAAGACAAGATAAAGACTTGTGCAGACGACTGCTAATGTCTTAGACAATGTCTTTACGATCTGTCAAAATTTGTTCACTTCTATTAGAGGTGTTAAGATGACCTTGAACTGTTGGATGAAGGCGAAATGACGCGGATGTAGCCGTCAGTAAGAAAACGCAATTACCGCGCACTGAGGGGGCGTGGTTTGGCAACTGCGTACACAAAGGCGGAATCCTTAGCCACGATGGGTCATCGTGTAAAAAGCTCAATCCCCTAAAAAACTCCACTTTATTAAGTCGTTCCTTTCTCATAGCTGTGGTCAAAATTTGCCTAGGTAGTAGAGCCTGTGCAAGCCGATACTTGTAACTAAGTTTAATCTGCTGTAAAGATTTCTTATTGTTAATATATGTTAAAATTAGTACATATTAACACGTCGGGTCTCCTATGTGTTAAACACACTTATTAAAACAATTCTTGGCTAGATGCCGAGAAAATTCGGTCATCATCACCAGAGCAATTCGGCCTAATTGTGTCTACTAATATTTTTTTTTTCTCTGGTGCATTGTTAAAGGCTAAACCTGCCAGAATAGTGTAAGACTACGGTCTGGGAAGAATGCATGACTATTCTTAATGGGTCTCCTCACTAAATTTAACAGACTGCAAATGTACCACCGTGATAAGCAGATAAGTTATTATTGGTAAATATATAGCGACCGCTTTGATTAGCGTTGAAAACGAACAATTCATCGCTGCATTTCACTAGAATTCCCAAAATTTGGTTACTTACTTTGGATAGCAATTAAAAAATGCCAGTACGCCAAAAAAAGACAAGAAATGTTGACAACATTGACAGCAGTCGCAGTCCGCACAATTACCATCGCTATACTTGAGGAGTGATGACTAACATTAAGATTGATAGAATGATTGCAAGAAATGTTAAGGCACAGGATGCCACGCACAATGTCAAGACCCTTGTTGTTAATTAGCCTTTATCGCGGATACTTCGTTTGCACATTTAGTCCAAGTTACGTGGAAGTTGGCAACTTGATAATATTTCTAATAATAGTGAGTAGTAATTGCCACAAATTGTTAAATTTCACATTATTTATTTTAATTAGCATTTGGCGCGCTTATGATCACAAATGCTTCGGCCATTTTTTCCCAACAACTCAAAAGATGTTCCTTTTCTCCATCAATGTTTCCTGTTTAGTAATTCTACATAAAATTATCTAATGCTATTTCCATATGGAACATACTGTTTAGCAAAGTTTCAATAGCCAACGCACAATTCTCCTCACACCCACATTCAACACGACTTCATGCATTTGACCCTAACGGAAATCAAATGGTCCTCCAACCCATGAGGCAGGAACTGAAAAACATGCTAATTAATAATGCTTAATAAATGGGGAAAATTTGCTTTTAATAAATGCCCTCAACAATGGAAACTGGTTATTCTTCCAGCAAAGAGAAGAGATAGTGAAGGTAGTAAGACATTGCTTCAATAGATACTGTTGTTGCTGCTGAATCGTTGAGGTAGTGAGCGCGTAGTGCAATGACAATGTCCCAACAGCGTAGCATTTCATGGGACATGTCAATGAGGCTATCGAGATCCCAGGTGGTCCTGAGTCTCTCCCTCAACGATTGAACATAAGTGTACAAGTCAACGCACGTTTGAATTGTCAACGCATAAGACGTTCCAGGCTGATGGTGTTGGTTATAGGCAGTGGCAGCAACGAGGGATAAGGGCGGCTCTAAAAACAGACGCGAATTGTAAACTTAAATTGCGATTCGAGTATTTAAAGGCAGTTAACCAATGTATTCAGACGGACAAAGATGCAACCTTGTGTGTGTGTGTGTTATATCGTGCAATAAGATTAGGCAAGAAAAAATAACTCTCAAGGAATGTCTGCAGTTCACTGTGATTCCACTAGTGAACGTCAACAGTTTGCGTGTGGGCAAACCTAAAGCGAGATCACAGCATTATGAATTCAGTTGCAATTATATCCCTTCCTAGCTAACCCAAGCCACTGTAGATTGTCGCAACTGCAGTATACTTAGATATCATTCAAATGGCAAAACAGGACCAGAGAGCACATTACGTTAAGCCTGAAAATATTAAAAATAGCAGGAAAATTCTTGTTTTTTTTACAACTGTGTGGGTTTTCCTGCCAACAAAACTCCTAGGCATGAAATGAGTTGTTAGATCAATGGAAAACTCGGTAAAGATTACGAAAACCGCTTACGGAGATGACAAAATCACGCCAAAAGCTAGGCCTCTCACAAGGATTTAAAAAAATCCATTCTATTTGCAATAACCGACTATTAAACAGAAGACAAAAATTATCTTTAGATAATTTTGGACAGGTATATTAGACGAAGTGGAATGATACGCCAATGCTTCTATTCTGGTGTACTTACCGATTGAAAATACAGTTCCTCAAAGTAGCATAATTGACTATGCATTATTGAAGATCACTTTGTTAAAATGTCTCAGAATTAGACCAAACCAGGAAAAAACCTTTGGCAGAAGCATACAAAGGAATCCACGTTGCAGTAGATGGTGCAAGAACACAAGATAATGCTCACCTGTGAAGATATCCTGAGTCTTAAGCGTTATCGATGGATCTCTTCCCATTGTCTATTCTATGTCGAATTCGGCAAAATTTTCTACAGCCTAACGCTCACGCTTGTATTTATACATGTGTCTTATGTGTTAGCTTTGATTCAAGTGAAAACAATCGCTTAAGCTGTTAACAGCAGAGAACATGGTGTGAATGACTCACGTTCATAATTTGTTTGGTGCTATTTACTGTCATCATTCTTATCTACTCAATTCCTCACTAGAATACCTGAAAATTGGCCATTTTAAATCCAGCAGATCCTGTTTTCTTCATTTTATTAAGTTACGCAGTCATTGTCTGCGTCAGTACAGGCTCTATAGACGAGATGTGCTCTATTTTTGGAGAGCGCATAATAATGGGTGTTCTGCTTAAGGTGTGAATCCAGAGAAAATAGCATAGCTGAACAAAGATTTGTTTCTTTTACCTAAAACACCAATTTGGCTAGATGTTTCCAAAGTCGGCATGACGCTCTCAGCGTAGGGAGGGCATGAAATGGTCAGCAAGAAAGCGAAAATGGTAGGCAGCAACCTTTGTGATCGACTTTCTTGAAACAATTAAAGTCGCAAGCACTTCCGCTCTAACCAGGACCAGTTACAATGCATTGTATATTGTAGTTGTTTTCACTTCCGTCTGATTAATTGACCGAAGTAACATATCAGCGTCTGGTAGAGAGTGAAGGCAACAACCGGCTCACATCTAAGCCATGTCATTTACGTAGGAATACAAATCAGTAAATACCGCCTTCTTAGCATCACACATTGATTGGATGCTAGAGCTTTCTAATAAAAGCACTATTGTGCTGTGCCATATCTTTCAACAGGCAATTTCTGCTGACAAACCCATAAGTGGATGCGTATGTCAAGAAAACATAAGTTTATTTTTAAAGCATGCAAAAATGCCCAATCATGTAACATCCCATAGTGAATAATTTAGTTCACTTTTCATTAAAAAACATTTTAATTGAAAAAAAGATAAGACTGCGTAATTGCGCATACAAAATCAACTTAAAAGCATCAGTCAT